TTTGTAAAATACAGCACATTTTCCGGAATTTATACTGAAGCAGAACGCGGCACTGCAATGCCGGACTGTTCTGAAGAATCCGGTACGTTTGCCCTTTTGCTGTGGTTCTACCACTGCAAGGCAAATTTGGAACTGATAAAATGTTCAGTGCTTCTGTAGTATATTGACACATTTTATAGTTGTGGATATAAACATTGCAGTTCTGCTTTTCTTTTTGAGAGAATCAACGCAAATTTTGTTTCGAGTTGGTGACTTTCTGACAAAAAACTGTGATTCTGAGTTGAGGGTGGCCTTTTAGATTAATATGAAATCGTCATGAAAAAACAGTTTTCTCTGTTCGGCAGAGTACCATGCTATACAGTGTTGTATTTAGATTAACGAGTAAAACTTATATAATTAAAAAAAATGGAAACTGAATTTGAAAAACCAGGAAAACTTTAGGGTAAAATGCAAAAAGAACAATAATGGACATATGAAAACAGCAAAGACTTAAAACCGTCGTGTATATACTTGCATAGGGAATACAATATTAGAAGAATGAAACCGTTTTGTTATATTTTTGTTAGAAGTTTCTCTCTTTTTCTTTTCTTACCCTTTAAGTAATTATTTCATTTTACAGCGATTGGTCATTCACTACAATGACTAACGTGTTTTAAATTGGATTGCGATAAAATATTTTTAGTCCAAAGGGGCTTTGTCCCTGAAGAACTATTGTTTTCGTTTTGCGATTTTGCGTCGGACTCATAAACGTCGGTTCACTTTTCAAACTGTTGCCACAAAATGTTAGAGTCCTGCATTATATTTGAAGAAATTAAATAATGAAAAATCTGCATAAATGATTGTCTATTTCTCGCATTGTGATAAAACAATAGTACATAGAGCCATCGAATTTTGAATGACGAAATCCTACTGCGAATATGGGCATCTGAAATCCCAAATTTGGAATTTGTTTTATTATAGATTTTATATTTTGTAAAACTTTAACGAATTTTTGATTTACAAACTCAATGCTTTAAAAAAGCGAGAAATGGCAACGTTATATATGAAAAAAAAATACTTTTATCTCCAGCTCGCGAGACTGTGTATATCGGAAATTCTAAAGATATGCTTAATTTAACATTATTTTGCGATATTGCTCTTGAACTGAATTTTATGGTTTAAGTGCAAAGAACATGATATTTAATAAATAAAGGTAACACTCAAAACGTTAAAAAAACGCCCCTTTAGACGTAATTTAAAATCTAAAACATTTCAGATTTTTTTTTTTTTTCAATAGTGCCAGTGTTCTTACTTAAAAATGCAATTTTTGTTCAAGGAAAAAAGGCCAGGAGGAGTTTGAATAAAATAAGTTTTTATTTAAATAATCAGCTTTTATTTAAATATTAAAATAATTAATGAACTAAAACTGAGAAAATAATTTATCATATATAATTTAATAGATGCAAGAGATTAAATAATTCTCTTTACAAAATCCATTTACGATTCATATCACGAATAATAAACGCTTGAGATGCCCTTGATAAGTTCATAATGTTAATGGCTCATACAATGTAATTCGATTATTAGAATTCGTTGGTTAGGCGTCCATGCTGAATAACGAAAATGTTAACAAAAATGTTTCAAAAATGGTGTGAGTAATGTTGTGAGAAATTACTGAATTCCACCTTGCGTGATTTTGTGCTGTAAGTGGTCAGCACTTCCAGTTAGAAATTTAAATATTGGTGCTTCTAATTCTGACAATTGGTGTTTTAGGTTTGTAGCATCGATAAACCTAAAAGTTTCTATAATACAAAAAATTAAAAATAAATTCCGGAAAAAGCATTGTGTAAATTATTTACTATGTTTAATAATTTCTATAGATAGAGAGAACATTATCATGAAATAATGTTATTTACTTCATTTCCTTCACTGAAAATGCATCGATTATGACAGAAAGTAATCACATCTGTTAATTATCACAGAAATTCGGCACTGATTATGATTTGTTTAAACTCATCATCATATCATTTTTCAGTACTTGGATGTTGCTTACGTTTCAAAATTTCTGTGGAAACTAATACAGTATAATCATTGTAAGAAGGAGCTATGGATCGTTATGCAATTGTAGGGAAATTATGTAATTACTTTTAACTCCTTTTTGCTACTTATTTTTTCAATTCTTTTTATTCAGTTTGTTACACATAAGTAAACACGTGGAACAAAATGAGTGAAAATAATTGAAAATTTGTTAATAAGACAGAGGCCTTTTCATAAAAAAAAATTAAATTGACCTTGAGTTTGAATTTACTTTTAAAATTTTACGTAGCAGAATAACTGATTTGAAGGACCTGATGTTACGTGGATGAGTTTGGAATAAACAGTATTAGAAAGGAATGGTTAAACTTTGAATGCAGGTCATAATGCGCATCTTTATTTTATTAATTCCTTAACATTAATGCTTTAAATACATTATAAAGAATGGCAGAAATTCACATCAACGTAAGACTATAAAAAGGCAATTTTTCTTTAGCGAGTTTAAAATAAATTAATCATTTTAAGTGATAAATGATGTAACCTCTTTCCTTCGGAAAACCGTTTTCTCAAAAACAAAACTTATGATGCATTTCACAATCATGCAAATATTTGGTTGTAACGAAAGTTTTCAGCTAAAAAAGTATTTAATAAGGTTAGGAAGAAAAAAACATGAAATCAGAAACTTTAGTGGGGATAGTAATCACCACCCAAATCTAAGATTTTCTGCCAATGTTTTGGTAATTTTTCAAAGCCTTCACCCCAGAAACTTGGCGGCCGCGTCTCCAAAAACAGATCAACATAACTTCGGACGTCCTGTACAAAACGACAAATAACACAACAAGATGCAGCTGCAGGTGTGAAAAAAAGGTAGACGTAGGAAGGAGTGATATTGGAGCTACATGGTAGATGTGGCAAAAGATCTCATTCCAGTCCGTACACAGTCCAGCCGGGGAATGCAAGCACATGCATTATCTTGACGGATCATTGTCTTTTTGCGTCGGTACTTAGTTCGACATTTTTTCTTGATAACAGCATCAACACGGACTAGCATCTCACTGTACACCTTACTTTCGAGGTTTTTAACTTTCCCTTGATACTCTTTGTGGATAATATCACGACAGTACCACCAGATACAAAGAATGATCTTTTTGTTAGTCAAATTGCGCTTTGCGACGCTGCCGACGGGCTCACTGTGCGCAGACCAACCCCCTTTCTGCTTATGTTGTTGATGTAAATCCACTTTTCCTCACAAATGATTATTCGGTCCAGAATTTTATCCTTGCGTTGATATTCGAGCAGATTAGTGCTGGTTTAAAGGCATCTATCCTTACCTGCTTGAGCCAGCTCATGCGGCACCCAAAGCTTGAACTTGTACGTCAGGTTTACGCGATGCATAGCATGACTAATGGATGTGGTACTAATGTCTAAGTCCTTAGCAAGCTCTCGAGTGAAAGGCATAGTCCTTGTTTTTAAACTATCAAAACCAAACCTTCATAGTATCATATGATACAACCATTAGTGCCTAAAAGCTGTAAACATCATTTGGTGACATTCTGTAGCTGAAGTTTCTGGAGTGAAGACAACTGGAAGTAAATGACAGCTCTAATCTGGTTGTGTGATAGTTCCATTTCATACACCTTGTACTTAATGATAACGATAGTTTTTTTACAAATTTCAGTATACAGTGTTCTAAAGCAAGTCTCTTTCTTTCAAATGCCAAAAATCGTTTGACAAAATGTGATTAAATGCAACGCGAAATGTATGAGCAGGAAATATTTGCGGTGGTGGAAAACTTTCGTTATATCCCCCGATAAATTTTGTTTTAGCAAGAAATACTGCATAATTAAGAAATTCTGATCAACATGTAAAATATTAAAAAATATTTTCCTAAAGTACTAAATACAAAAGTTTTCTTAATTTGTTGAAATTTTTCCGTAATCCGTTTCCGTAATTTTTTTTATCTAGTTTTAGATTTTTCCTCGTAGAAGTTCTGCATTCTAAAGTTTGCTGAAACTGAGGGAAGTACTTAAAAAAATAAATTATCAAGGGGGCAGTTGATTATAGCTGAATCTCGCTATAACGATTTCTTTTTACAATGACTATTCCATTGCAAATGTCGGTGTAAAAAAGTCCCGAAATTTTATGTCGCATATCACCATTTTTTCTTTTGAAATCAGTCGTAAAAATATTTTTTTCTTGAAACGAACAATTTTTATAACGAATACCAGTTATATAAATAATTGTAAAACACATACCCTAATGTTTCATAAAGTGATTAAAAAGCAAACTCATTCGAAAATTGAACAATTATGAGGAATACTAACATTTCATTATAAATTATAATCGAAGCCTCCGAATACATTTAATGAATAAAAAAATTTTGCTGAATTTCTAGTATTTTGTTTAATTTCTAGTTTAGCTATAGCATATAATTTTAAATTCTTTAATATTCTTGGTAATTTAAATAATTGATGCTCTTCATAATAACAAGAATTTCATATTAAGGAGCAAGATACCTGAGTACTTTTAATATAAAATGAGAAATAAAACGAAAATTTTCTGATGAATATGTACCTTAAGTCTAATAGATAGTAAGAGTGAGACATTCTTTAATGTATCAGCATTTTAAAGGTTAATGAAAATTACTTTAATTTATTAGTGTTAGATGAGAATTTATTTCTACATTTATTTTAAAGATTCATTTCCCTATCGGTGAAATGCTCAGAAGTGCAGATGATTATTTAAAAAAAATTTTTTTAATATGTCTTTAGCGAAAAAGATTTGAAAGTGGCCAACCTGAATTTCCTTCCCACGCATTACGTTAGGTGAGTTCTCTGACGTACGAAAAACAGGTGTGTGTTGGTATTCATCCTGAGACATTAACAAACGAAACTGTGACAAAATTATTGAATTAGCTGAACTATAAGTCATGACTATAAACAGTAACTCACGATTTTTGGTGTATAAAAGATCCTGTCAAAGAGCTGCAGGCCATACATTCCAGAACAACCCAAAAGCAATCACTGGCTATGGAGTGGATAACTCGAATAGTATTTCTACTTTTTTTCACTTGTACTCAACTTTATCCTGCTTTAGGAGGTTCAGAAGACATATGGGGCAATCCTTCGAAAGCAGAAAGTCTCCTTCAAGGATTTACTCGAGCGTTACAATATTCTGGAGTCTTTACGTATGAGCAAATGGATGACATATCATCTATTAGTGATACCATAATGGACGCCATAGAGAGAAGTACTCGCTCTAACAAAAACTCTAGATCGAAACTACAAGCACTAAATGCAGCTTTCGCCTCATCAGTAGCAGAAATAGCTGCTTCAACAGAGGGAGGGCAACCACTGTCGGTCAAGACTGAAGCAATAATTAATGCATTGGAAAGTGCATTTTTGGAAACCTCAGGGTCAGTAGATCAAGCATTCTTAAACGAAATAAACGAATTAATAACAATGTTTACTGAAGAAGGTCTGAGCAAAGTCTCCGGAACAGATGGTGGTTACAGTTCAAGCACATCGATCGCCGCTGACGCTAATGGACAAGGAGGTTTTGGAGGTAGAAGTGGCTTCGGATTTGGTGCTAGTGGTGGTGCTGCTGCTTCTGCTGCTGGAACAGGATCTGATAGAAGTGGACGAGGGCAAGATGCTGCACCTGTTGCCGCCACCACCGCTGCTGTTGCAGCTGGAGCAGGAGGTAAGTCATATATTTCTATTTTGTATGAGAATAAGTAGTATAGTCTAAAACAAAATATTTTAAATGTTCCTTGTCATTTCACAGTCAGTTCATTAAGGGTTCCCCTCCTGCTACTCGCATATCAAAAGCTTCCTTTTCAATGAAATGGCAGGTATTGTGAATGACTAGAATAGTCTAATTCTTAAAGCTTCATGATGCATGCATTTAAATATTATTGTTTGAATCGCATTTTAAAACGTGTTACACTTTTCAAATACTTTCACTAATCTTTTGATTTTTAATCAGTTTTAATATAAATAATTTTTATAAAAAACAATCAGTTTTAACAACGATTTTTTTTTTTTTTTTTTTTTTTTTTTTTTTTTTTTGCATACAAACTAAGCTGAAGTCATTTTTTCCCACCAAGAGATATTTAAAACTTTTGTACATCTTCAGGGCAAAGCAATTGAGACATGGTATTCGTTGCATTTCTACGTGCCTGGACATCTTTACTACAGTGCTATTTAATTATGCAACTATCATATAGTTCAGGTTTAAACTATTATATATACCTAATGATTTGACCAGTATGAGTAGTTCAATGCACACCTGAGAAGATTTCTGTACTGAATAGATTACCTATCCTAAAATCATTTCACAAATGTAACATGTTCGGCTATACTTTTGTATGTTTTAGATTATTCTGGTTCATAAAGTCTAATTTTAGTTCTAAAAGTTTGTTCTAACATGTATTTAGCTGGGTGTTTATGATTTAAAAATGGATAGTTCTCTCTATAAAAGCAATTTGTGCGTGAAGCTTTTCGCAGTCCAGTTTTATACCTTGAAGTTGAAGTACAATTGCAATTAAACTGGCAGTATAACATTTCTATCGCAAAACATCTTGAAATATTTTCGATTTGTAAATAGAAATAATAACCTGAAAGCTGATATTGACTACGGCGTATGGTAGTTCTGAAACGTAGAAGCGTAATTTTTTTATATATCAAGTGATTATTAATATAAATAATTCGTTTTTACACAGTTTTAAATAAAAAAAAGTATATTGTTCGCCATTCAAATTGCTGTACCATTGAGGAAGTATTCAAGAAGCTTGAAATTTTCAACTAAGTGTGGATCATGCAAAGACATGTACAATATATATGTAAACACGCAAATGTTTGGTATTGAAAGGCATATCCAAATCATGTGAGCCAGAAATTTTGACCCCACCAAGGATGACCATTGGTCTGACTTTTCCTGGAAAAGTCTTTCAATGTTACTCATCGTGGTAGATGTCCATTTACAAAGTCTCGTTTTTTTTTGGTAGAATAAATTGACGAGTTCTAAAAGACTGACGAATTAAGCCCAGATCTGTAGTACAACAGAAAAGTCAGAAAAAAAGTGTAAAGACCTTTTATTCAATCAATACAGATTCTGAGATGGCCCCACTTATGCTTGCACAAAGCCAGCACTCCTGGCTTAACTCAAACAGGTAACGTTGAATTTAAAATGTACTAACTTTAGCCTAACTCTCATAGGATAATTTAACGCGCATGAAGGCTCTGATTCGTAGAAGCAGGCGGAAACAAGCTTACTGGCTAGAAGCAATCAACACCACAGAAACAAATCTCTAGTAGTTCAAAATAGCAGCTTGGTCTTCAAGCAGGCATAACACGCTCTAAAATCATCTTCCAAAACCTTCTCTGAAATAGCACTTCTTTCTTCCTTATTAGAATACACCCGTGCTATATTATTAGCATTCTGGCAGGAAAGAGTGGGTGAAAGCCGCACTGAAAGGAAAGTTACTTTAACTAATTTAGAAGTCAAACAACAAAAATCAAGAGTTTGAAAATATAACGCTGATTTCTGTTGTTTGACTTCTAAATTAGTACTTGTTCGGCGTGTAATGGTATCATAAAAATTAACTGTTTATTCAAACTAAGTAAATCCTCATAACCTGATACTAGCTAGACCCTTCCAAGAGAAGGGCTAGCAAACCAGACGATATTTATTTCAATTTGGGAAATATATACATTTACAGTTACATTGAGTATTACATATGCGAAATATATTATACGTCATACATACATCATTGCATTTCATAAAAGTCCATGATTCTAACCATGCCAGGTAAGTTCAGAATAATCACGATACATAAATTTCCCTTATATTGCTTCTGTTACCTGAAGCATACTGTACCGCATAATAGTTGATAATTTCACTTAGTTTTTTTTTTTTTTTTTTTTTTTTTTTTTTTTTTTTTTTTAATTTTGTCACTTCGAATAAGTTTATCAGTCCACTGTGGGTAATATTGCTCTGTTGGTAAGCAACGGCGATTACTGGTCATTAAGCTGCAGTTGAATACAAAATGGTCGGGGAAGCCGATTTTATTACACTGCCAGTGTTCCGAATGAGTATTAGTTTCGAAAAGTAAAATATTTGTTGATCATTTCGTTCTGCGATGTATATGAATTAATTCACTCGTCGTGAGTACTTCAGTAGTCCGGATGTAGTAGAGTTTCATTGTTCAGTGCGAAAATCTACTGAACATCAACGCCCAGTTTTAGCAACAAATTATGATTTCCGAAAATTTTGACCAAAATTTCATTTGCCATTTAAATTCTGTTTTTCATACTAGTTTATCTCTGTGCTTCTTAGTTAAAATAAACTAGATCTATAGGGCATGACGTGTTTTTGAAAATCATTTATAAAGAACATCAGTATTTAAGTTTGTACATTGCAGCTTATGGTTTGAAAGCTCCGAAACAATCCTCCAGTGCTTTGGATTTCTGATTATTTTCTATTGTGCGCATGTAATTATAATATATTCGTTTAACATAAAAGTGGATTTTAAAAGTAAGCTTGCTAAGCAACGAAATAGAGAAATGTATAACTTTCTTTAAATTATCGAAGGCAGTCGTCTTTCCTTGTCTTCCAGTAAACAGTTTCAGTGTTTAAATCTTTCATTGTATCTTGGTAAAGTTTTTGGTGGAATACATTCTGAAACTTAGAGGTATTAAGGTCCGTAATATGTAAGAGAAACCTAACGCGCATGTCAAAAATTCTTTTTATTTTGTATTAACACCGTTTGATTAGAAATAATAATTATTTCATTTTTGTGCCTTGTGTAGTACTTAACAAAATATTCAGCTTTTCACTTTTGAATACTTGAAATTATGCAAGGTCTTCATTTAAAATTGGTTATGTCGTAGAAATTTATCCTTACAAAATTTCTCAAATTTTCATAAGGTTGAAAGCTTTTATATATGAAGATAGTCATATTGTGAGGCGGCTGGCACGATTGTGCATAAAAGAAATTCATTGAACTAGAATCATCTAATCTCAAACTGCTTTAAAAAGTTGACCCCTTTTTATCACTGACATTTTTTCGCGATCCCCAGAACCCCAAAATATTTACAAAAATTTTGTGGGGCTCTATAAGTATCACGCGGGAGTGAAACTGTCAATTTTTTCACTTGTGCTGTAATATACTACTGCAGTTTTAGGTCATTAACTTTAATTTCTAATTTTAAGACCTAGAACAATGAGAAAATTTTAAATAAGTAATGTAAGTAATTTTAAATAAGAAACGTGCAGGATCACGTGCAAAGGAAAGAAAATGAACGTTTATATTATAAAAAGGATGTGTCGAAACGTTTTCGTTTTTTTTTTTTTTTTTTTTTTTTTTTTTTTTTTTTTGTATGTATTGTCTTATCTTTTTATATTTTCTGATACATTGTGTAAAAATATTTGGTAATTGTAAAATTATTATAATAAGTTAAAGAAATATGAAAACCACTCAAATTTTTGGCGACACCTTTGGGGATCGCGACCCACAGTTTAAGAAACCTAGATATAGAGGAAGAGGATACGAGAATGGATTAGGACCTGGTACTGCAGGAGCTGCTGCCCCCTCCGCTGCTAAAGCAGCATTTGACACAGGAGGCCAAGATCCTGGAAGTGGTGCTGCTGCAACCGCTACTAGAGAACGAGGAGATTATTGGAGGCAGGTTTGGATTCGGATCTGGTGCTAGTGGAGCTGCTGGCTGCTTCTGCTGCGGGAGCATGATCTGGTGGAAGTGGAGAAGGCCAAGATACTGTAGCAGCTGCCGCCGCCGTGGCTGTTGCTGGCGCAAGCGATACAACAATTTTTTTCTACTATTGGGAATAGATGGAACAATCGAAAACTAAAATCTCAAAGTTCTCTTTTAAATCGAATATCTAATTTAGAGTGGAGTCGGTGTTATTCTAACATTCAAAGTGTCCTTCTGAAATGAACCGCTGGAATTGTGGCCAATTTGGAAAGCATAATTATGAAACTGATCGCAGTTAAGACCACTTTTGATTCTTTGATTCACTTTTGATTCACTTTTGAGATTTAAAATGACTTATACGTTGGAAAAAACCGTTTGCACTTTTCTTTATTTTGAATACATTTTGTTCATGAAACCTAAGTTTAAGCGACTATTCTATCCCTGAGATATTTAAAAGCTATACGTTTCATCATGGGAAAACACATGCTATATGTTTCTATTTAATATCCTAGTGGATGGAAATTTATGAGTTGAATAACGTTCGATTAAGTAATGATTATAAAGCTAAATGTGTAGAGGCATTAGGTAATTTTTTACAGCAGAAGAGATGAAAAATGAGCAACTCTCTCGCCAGGAATCGAACCACGGATCTCAAGAATAGGCGTCCAGCGTGCAGACCACTACACTACGAAGGCTAAGAAGGCGTGGAGAAATATCTTATAAATGATTTTGGTCAGTTTGATTCTATGATGCATATGAAAAAATTAATTGGTCATGAGTACATTAGCAGTATGATCATTGTAGAATTTCATTTATCAAAACAAAATTTGCTCAAAATCAGAGAGTTGTAGCAATAAGTTCCTGATTTCAGAAAATTTGGACCGAAATTTCTTTAACTTGTAGGGATTTATATTTATTTTAACTAATTTATTTGAAACTTTCCTATAAGCCTTCATTCCCCTAATTGTCAGTGCCAGAATAGTTAAATATAGCTAGCGTGAACGAATGCAAATTTTCTATTTTCAAGGAAGTAGTTTAAAGCCGAGTTTCGATAGGAGAAAGAGAGAGTTACGCTGCCGTCTCTGCCGTAAATACGTTTGCTTATTGCTAGTTCAAGTGGCTTAATTACATTGCTTTGCTGCTACTAGTTTAGAAGGGGGGTTGAAGTTACGGGATCTCGCTGAGCCCTATAGGTTAGTTATATCACTTCCTAATATTTCAACTTTTAGTTTCAATTATCTGACTTTCAGTTACCGCCCAAGTAGAGGCGAAGTTTGTTAGCGTCGAGTTGACGCATTTTAAATTTTAAAGAGTTAATAAAAGGTACGTGAACCCTTCTCCTGTGTACTTTACTGTATGTACTTCTCCTGTGTACTCCTGTGTTCTGCTACTCCAGTATACAGACAGAAGTTCATTTACTGAACTCTACAAACTAAAATCTTTTTGTTTTGTTTTGTTTTGTTTTCATATTAATTTATCTGGATGCTTCGTAGTTGAATTTAGGGCACAATGTGTTTTTTGCAAATCATCTTTAGAAAAATCAGTATGGATGTTTGTTCATTTCAGCTTATGTTTGCTGAACAGTTTTGTTCTAATTGGCCACTCATAGGTGCCACTATGTCTGAAAATTAGTATCAGGTAATTTAGCTCCGAAACGATTCTCAAATGCTTTGGATTTCTAATAATTTTCTGTTGTATGTATGTAAAACTATTCGTTATCATCAAGGTGGATTTCAAAAGTGTCTTAAGAAATGCATAAGCAGCCATGAAAGAGGTAACGCATAACTTTCCTTAAATTATCGAAAGTAACCTTCTTTTCCATCTCTTCCAGTTTTCCTACCAGACAACGTACAATATATAGACTTTTGTTTTTACAAGTCAATACAATTTAAAAAAATAGTACTCCACAATCATTAGGATTTTTTTTGTTGCAGGATTTATGAAAAATGTGCAATGCCCTGGTCGGGACTCTAACCTGGACCTCTCGAATATGCGCCGAATATGCTAACCGTACCAAAACGAAGTGATGCAGAACGGAGGGAGAAAATACCTTATATACTTCCCTCTATTAAAGGGTGACTGGGGATTAGGGGGCCCAATCGCCAAATTCTGGTGGTGAAGAATTATCATTCACTACCTTTTAGTTCGGCCGTCACTGTAGAGTGATTAGGATTTTTGAAGCAGAAGACTTGAAAAATGTGCAATGCCCTCGCCGAGACTCGAACATGGACCTCTTGAATACGAGCCGAGTTTGCTACCATTACGCTATGAAGGCATGCAGAAAGGAGAGAGAAAATACCTTATAGAATTACAATTTTATGATTGCATGGAAGACTTTACAAAAAAGATTTATACATAAATGTATCTTCATAGATAACTTAGGAAGACTTCTATTCTTACTTCTATTCTTACACTGCAAATGCCTTGTCTGTTTTGCTTTGTGAGTTATTGATTTATCCGCGAAATATTGAAATACAAAATCTATGGAAGGCTGCAGTTCCATCGTTTTAGGCACTAAAAATTTACTTTTTTTTAAGGTACTGAAACCACTTTAACCCAAAACTGACAAATGTTTCAAATGGCTTTGGAAAGTATTTCATTTTATCTTAAATAACACTTGAGTGTTTTAACCTTTTGTAATATTTTGCTTAAGTTTTGGGTAGAATATTTTCTGCAACATGGAAATAAAGCTTCGTAATATATAAGAGAAGCATAACGCACAAGTGAAAGATTTTTCACCTTTTGTATTGATACCGTTTGGTTTGGAAAAAAAAAATTTTTTTAATCTTTATACCTTGTGTAGTACTTAATAAAATATTCGCCTTCTCATTTTTGAATCCTTGAAATTATGGAAACTCGTCTTTCTAAATGGGTTATGTCGTGAAAATTAATTATTGGAAAATTTCCCAAATTTTCATAAGGTTCAGAGCTGTTAAATATGCAGATATTCGTACTGTTAGGTGGCTGGCACTACTGTGCAGAAAAGAAATTCTTTGGACTTGAATCATGTAATTTCCAACTGCTTTAAAGAGTTAAGTTTAACAATATTATTTTACTTGTAGTTTAAATTATGCCATATAATTCTAGGTTATGGATTAAGAGGGTACGATAATGAATTAGGATCTGCTTCTGCGGGAACTGCAGACGCCTTCCCTGCTGGAGCAGAATCTGGTGCATTAGGCCAATATTTTGGAAGTAATTCTGCCGCCGACGCTGCTGCAGCAGTCACCGCTAGTGGACAAGGAGGTTATGGAGGCAGAGACGGATTCGAAACTGGTATTAGTGGTAGCGCTGCTGCTTCTGATGTGGGAGCAGGATCTGGTGGAAGTGGACAATACCAAGATGTTGCAGCTGCAGCTACAGTCGCCGCTGCTGCTGGCGTAGGAGGTAGAGGAAACTTTTTTTTCTTCTATTGGGAATAGATGCAATAATCCTAAACTAAAATCTGAAAATTTTTCCTTTAAATATCCCCAAGATATTTGAAGGCTTCACTTTTCATTACGAGAAAACACGTCTTGTATGTTTTTATAAGTATCCTCGAAATTTATGAGTTGAATATCGTTCAAAAAAGTAGTGATCGTAAAGTTAAATGTTGGATGGTCAGTTTCATTCCGTGTTATGTATGAAATAATTCTCTAGTCTGTAGCACTTCTGCAGTCTGCGCGTAGTAGAATTTTTTTTTTGTTACGAATCTCACTTGTCTGACAATGGTGAGCACAAGTGTACAACATTCATCCTGGCAAAGAGCAAATACGCCTGTGATTGGGATGAGCCTTGAATACCCTATACGTGACAGCCCGACTTTAGCTCGGTTTCGCCCCTAATTTTGAGAGCGACTATCACGGGGCGACGATTTTGAAGATCTTCCACCCTTTCTCTCCTACTACGGACCTCTGAAGAAAATTTTTCATATTATTATTTCTTCACTACATTATATTCTAGCAATCTTCCTTTCTGCCATGCAAAACACCTATATATCATAATATGTTGCAGCATGTTGCTACTTAGCCGACTGCGATACCGAAGGGCCCGGGTTCGGATCCCGGAGAAGGCATGGGTGTAACTGTCCGTCACTTCATAAAAGTCAGCATGACCGCCTATTAGGTGCCCCCACTCTAAAATGACCATTAATTCCGGTCTTAGGAATGGCCAATATCGAAAAGGCAAGTGCTCGCCATTGGGAAAAAAGTGTATTTACATATGTTATTTTCTCAGGGTTGACAACCCCTTAGTTCCAATGCTAAATTATGATCCTTATCATGTAGTTAACAGAAGATGGCCTGTAGACGATCCTAGACATTTAAACTAATTGATGTATTAATTGGTTTGTTGTGCTTTGTTTCTTGTATTGCTCTTCTCCGTAATTATCATTATCATTTTTCTGCTACCCTTTTCTAAAAGTACGGTTTCTGAATTGAGTCTCCCTTCCGTCTATGATCCATCTGCTTTTTTTCCCGTTACTTTATATCATCTTACTTGTATGCTGTTCTAACATGTTATTTCTGTTTGTGTTTTTATTTGTATCTGGAACAAAAGCTGTAGTTTTCTGTTGTTTTTGTGCCCTCCTTACTTTCAGCCAATAACGAAGCTTCCGCCAGCTAATTGTTAAGCTTTCAGTCATGTGTACCATTTGACCCATCCTAACTCTCCCACTTCTCCATCGGTGCATTGCTTCAAGCTTCGACATCGGCGAACATGCTTCATCACATATAACCTATATTATGAACAATATGTTACCGTGTAATGTTGCGCGCTTGCAACCTGCAACAATAGTGGTGACTGCTAAGAACTGGAAAGTAGACCAAAGTCTTGAGAAGGGTTTAAATCCCTTTTTATTTAACTTTAGAAATTACAAATGCGTGTTCTTGACGCTCACAAACTACGCCGACCCGGCGGTAAAATAAAAATAAGAAACTAAGAAAATAATAGTAACAAGTGACTAACTACGAGGCTCTCTAAACGTATCTAACCTCACCGCGTTCTAAAATACCGCTGATAACTCAGCAAACTTCTGAATATTACGTTGAAAGATTAACAAACTGCCGAGGCAAGCACACAGGCCGAAACGCGTGGTTCTTCAATTTCTAACTAGCCACCTCCACGCTCGTGAAGTAAGAAAGCACACTTTCGAACTCGTTTCCTTTCTATTTAACTCAGATACTTCCGCTGACAATTTGAATCCTTGCGCGTTCTACTAAAATTTACATACTCTGACATTGGCAATTCCAGGGGAAAGTAAGGCTTGACAGGAAAGATAGTTTAAACTTAAAATAAATGTTAGTTAAAATAAATATAAACCCTACATTTGCCGCTGCCAGAATTTGGTAAACTTGGAAGTAGGTCCTAGAAACGACATGTTGAAAAGTTTCCACAATTCTGAACTAAATTTTAAGAGCCTCGTTTACATAAAAAAAATCTGTTATCTCACAAAAGGTAGAATAAATTTCTGTAGATACTTATTTAATTTTCTCTTCTTACAGCAACTTTTCCTGGACTTCAGCAATCAATCTGTTCTCTTCCTTCCAGCATCTGGAAGGAATAAGTATCAGTATCTTTCTAAATACATTATAATTTATACTTTCTTGCACTGAATAAGTTTTTGTTTTTGAACGATTTATTTTCCTTAGTTACTGCTTAATTCACATTCATTCAAGTATTCAAGCATGAATTTAACTTTACCCTGGCTCTCCACCATGTGTGGTGTCAAACGGGAATATTCGTGTTTTAGTATTGCAACACTCACTTCCCCTAACCACAATGATTTGTTAGAATTCAACGACCAAACAGACACACCTTACTCGACATTCTACAACTCGATGAGCTACTTTAACATTCTTAAAATTCAAGTGTAGGTGGAGAACCCTATAAAAAACACATTCATTCTAAATTCCCCCTTCATCTCTTAGACATGCAGGCTTTCGCTCTAAAGCATGATTTTATCTACAGTTTAATACTTAAATTTGAATTCATTGCTTTTGAGCATTTACTTTTAGCATCTAAAATTTTATGCTTCTAGACTAAATTCTACTTTTACATAACTTTCATTCAAGTATTTACGTATATTTACAAAATTCTAATACATATGATTTTTACAATTTACCATAAAATGAATGAGAAAAATAAATTTTTACTTTACTCATTCCTCGCCAAGCTGGCGGCACTGAAACTAAAGTTCTTATTAATACAAGAATACGAAGTTATTTTTATCTTCGGCCAAATTTTGGCTTTAACATAACAGAATTAGTCTTTCAACCAACAGAAACTGCTTGTTCTTAGATTTTATACTTAAAGAAAATAATACTTTTGCCTTAGCTAAATAAAGTAAAAGAAAACTAAGTCTCAACCGAGACACATTGACTTCCGTCAAAACATAGAACTTCGTATTTACGCATAACATTTCTGGAACAAAGAAAAAAAAAATTTATAGAAGATTTTAACTTATTTTTTGAGTTTTCGATGATTGGAACTCCAACATTCCTCTTCTAGGCAGAACTGCTCCCACGTTATAGGAATTCATCGAAGTCAGTCGTTCTCCTTTGTGTCCTTCGAATTTCGGTCATGTTGATTTTTCTTTTTCGCCCTCTGCATGCTGGGCTCTTGGAGTGGTAGTCGTCGGGTTGCTGTCTTTTACCGTTTTTCCCGCTGGACGGCTGGACTTGGCGTCCTCCGGTCTGGAAATCGTACTTGAATTTCTTCTGTTGGTGGTGGTCTTTTCGTTCCTCCTGCTGTCTTTTTTTCGTTCTCGGAAACGGCGGCCTTGTTTGTTTGCACCTGACTCTCTGGCCCTGGAAGCGTTCTCCTCGATGTAGAATTTCTACTGCGATACGTTGTTAAGTGGTGTTTTCCTCTTTACCAAGGTTTCTTTACGCGGCGGCTTTGCTTTCTTGTATTTCTTAAATGCTGGAGTCTGAAAGTTTTCATTTCTTCTTTTCGGTACCGTCGCATGGGTTGTAGAAGGGCTAGGTTTCTCTTCAGTTCTCTGCTTCTTGGGTGGTGGAACGGGTGACGTTACTTCTGGACCTTCTACTTGTTTTACGCTTGAGACCTGCAAGAAACTTTTAAGGATTTCAAAATCATTTTGATTATAATATTTTTTCACCTGGTCTGGACTTGCTTTACTGATTTCCCCTCTCTCGTTCTTAAGGTACAATACGACTCCCTTGATTTCCTGAATTACATAGGGGCCTTCAAAGTTTGGAGCTAACTTTGCAGTAAAATTGTCTGGGGTACTTGATAAAGAAAATTTCCGCTTCAACACTTTATCCCCAACTTTAAAATCTGCTTCACGGCGTTTTCTATCATAATATAACTTTTGTCTATTTCTTGCCGTATCCGAGCTTTTAACCGCCTGGTCAATAAGTGTTTGCACGTCTTTCTGTTTTTAAATTCTTGCTCTCTTTGTTGCACAAAGAATAATTATCTAATGGCGTAATTAACTTTCGTCCTAAAATAATTCTGCTGGGGTTTTTTCCCGTAGTATCGTGATTTGCCGTTCTTAAAGCATAAGCTAACTCATTTATGTAGCCATCCCAGCGCTTGTGATGTGTGCTATCATAACTTCGAATTATTTTACAATGTTTTTATTAACTTTTTCTGCTATGTTTGCCGTGGTCTATACGGAACCATTTTGATATGGCGTATGCCAAGTCCAGTGCATATGTTTTCAAAATATTGACTAATGAATTGTTTACCGTTATCGCTAATGACTTTTATCGGGCACCGTATTTTAAAATGTATCTGTGTAAGAATGCATCTGCGACTGTTTGGGGCTGACGCGCTTTTAAGTGGAACAATTTCTGTCCATTTTGAAAAATGATCTACAATTACTAAAAGAAAACGATTTTTATTTAAAACTGACTCTGGGGAAAGGACCAAGAAGATCTATGCCTAAAATTTCATTCGGAAATGTAGCAAATGCTATTAAGTACCCGGCCGGGCTGTAATTAATATCATTTATTAACTGACATTGATTGCAGGACCTGACATACGCAGTTACTATTTTGTATAATTGCGGGAAATATACTGCCTCGCGTACCCTTTTTTAAAGTCTTTCTGACCCCTAAATGACCCGCTGTTTCGCGTCGTGTAATTCCTTCAAAATGCTTAATCGAAGCGAGGCTGGGATGACTGGTTTGTACTCGAGATTTTTTCGTTTGTTTTTCGTATAATAATAAAATTATCTATTATTTCATAGTTTTTCTGCTCTATTTCTTATCGCATCGATATCTGTGTGCTCAAAGCTTTCGGGGTCTTTCAAATATGCATAAGTACTTCCAAATTCTGGATCAGCTTTCATTTCAACAATAACTGTATCTCTAGAATCTAAATTTTTGAAGTCAACACAGCGCATTTAAGTTCATTGCCTTCATCGCGTCCAGTTTATACGA